ATATATATATATATATATTGAAAATATTATATTTATAACCATTTGATTAAAGATTTAAATTAATCACTTTGTAAGGAATTTTTTAGGTAGATTTATATAATAAAAAAATGATTATAAGTTAGGATATTTATAAACATGATATATGAAAAAATTTGTGTGATTGGAAGAAAAATGTATTATTAAATTAAAATTTGTTTTGAAATAGTATATAATTCAAATTAATTTGATTATATGTATAATAAAACTAAAGTTTGTAATAATTTTTTTTTTATGAATATGACTCACCTAGTATCTTGAAATTGATAATCAAGGACTAATTTGTATTCACGCGACCTGATTTCTACTGGGTAAACATTATTTTAATTAAAAAAATAATTTATACAATTAAGTTGGAATGAAACGTAATTATTATATTAAAATTTGTATCGAATAATTGATACTTTAAAATTTTATAATTATTTTAAAATTAAATTTTGTAATAAATATTTGATTAATAACAATTAATTTAGACAATTATGTCATAATAAAACTTAATAATTATAAGAGAAAAAAAAATTAATGTTGTTTTAGTTATTTATCATTAACAATTAATTTTCAATAGCATGTGATTAGGAGTGATATATTAATAACTGATTGGTTATTAAGAGACTTAATTTGATTAATATGTGAGTTATTAAAAAATTAACTCAATAAAAATTGTTAAATATAATACTTAATTTATCAAATAAAAATCAATTCAATTTGGTTTTTTTAATTACATGATTAAATATTGATTTACTAAATATTTTAATATTAATTTTGATGCAAATAGAATCCACTAGTTAATTATCATATGCAAGTTAAAAGGAAATAATATGACAAATTTGAGACTCAAATTGATGGTGGATTTGGAAATATTTTTATTATATATTGTTTTGTTTTTGACACAATTATTTGATTTCAAACAATATTTTATAACAAAGATGCATTATATCACTCATACAATTTAATATTAATATGAGAAAATTATCGGTCATAGGAGAATATTTTATTAAAATAAAATAAAATAAAATCTACATTTTCAATTGGCCCACGAACTATCCGGTTTCAAAGGTTAAGTACGAGTCAAAAAATTTGGATTATTTATCTCTCTAACCAGAATTATCCAGATATTTAATAATACAATTAATATTAATTTTTACAATTGTAAACATCACATTCAATTAATATTAACTTTTACAATTGTAAACACCACATGAATGCATGATTCACATGTTCGTCAATTTATAAGAATTAATTTTAATATTAATCTTTATAATTAATATTAAAATTGATTAAATTGTAATATTTTTAATTTTATAAATTAATTGATATAAATCACTAAAACATTAAAATGATAATCATATCTTAATTTTATAAATACAATAATCATTAAATATATTTTACTGATTTAATAAATATAATTATAACATGTTAACATAAATAACCATATAAATTATTGCAATCTTTAAATAATGATATTATGTGAATAACATTATTGTAAATATTTATATGTTTTTTAGTTATATAAAATATTTAAATTTAATTTAAATTAGATATTAATTTTTTATAACCATATTATTATATATAATTATGTCAAATAACCTAATTGACCATTTTTAATGGATACCCTCAAAATCTTGTTCAACGAGACCACAATTTTATTGTGACTTGTTGATATTAAATATTTTCTTTGATTGGTTTATAATTGTTTTTAGATTTTAATTTCTAAAAGTATTTAAACAATATAACTAGCCTTTTTATTTTTTATTTTATCCAATATAACTAGTTTAAATAACATTTTATATAGTTACTTTTGTATCAAGTTATTATTTATTTTCTATTAGATAAATATATTTAATATGTCTATTTATTATAATTATTATTTATATATTTCATAGTTTTCATTTCAATTATATTAATTTGATATTTTTTGAGAAAACTTATTAATTATAAAATAATTGATTAAATAAGTTTATTTTATAAAATTGAATAAAAATTCTCTATTTATTTGGATTGAATTTTGATTTATTGTCTATTCTATTAATAAAAAAAAATATTACTATGTTTATATGGTTTTTTTTTTACAATTTTGTCTCTACAATTTCCTCTCAAATTATTATTTTTTCTGTGTCATTTTTTTTTTCAAAAACTACTCTTATACCCAAAAATTGTTCACATCCTCTTATTATTAATTGGTCGCTTTTATTTTATTTTTAAAAAGATAAAAAAAGATTATAAATATATTTATAATGCTAGTACATAACAATATATTTCAAATAAGAATGTGTATTGTTCCTTTTTTATTTTATTATGATAAATATTAAAAAAAGATTGCAATATTTATGATTTTATAAATTAATTTATCTAAATTCCAAAAAAAAAAACATGATAATCTTATCTTATTTTTATAAATATAGAAATAAGCTAATTATATATTAATTTTAAGTTTTAATATGTTTTTAGTCCCTTAAACTTAGAGTAAATTTGTTTTCCGTCCTTCAAATTTAAAATTAATCTTTTTAGTTATTGTAATTTTAAAAAATCTTATTTTAGTTCTTATATCCAAATCTTATTAGGAAATCTTTAAATACTGATGTATAAAATTTATTTAGTAATGTCTCTGTTAGTAAAAATATCGTATTAAACTCAGTTACTATTACATAACTATCTCAATTTGTGACTTTTAAATATGTTATCGGTAACCTAAGAAACTAAAATAAAATTAAAAAAAATAAAAAAAGATTAAAAATAACAATTTTAAATTTAAGAGATGATTGTTAAACTAAAAACATATTTTTAATTTTATAAACACAATAATAATATATAATCTTGTATTACAATTCAAGAATTAATCACTATTTATACAAAACATTTAAAATTAATTTGAAAATAGTACAAAATATTTAAATTTAATTTGATTTGATTGAATTATAACTGTTTTAAGAATATATATAGTTTAAATAACGAACTGTATATATACGAGTATAATTTATATCAAATCATTATTTATTTTCTATTAAATAAATTATAATTATAATTTTGTGTAAATATTTAATAATCTCTAATTTTAGTTATATTTAATTAAGTAAATTATAATGTTAACAAATTCAAAAGTATCCTTTTGGTCTCCTATACTTATTATAATTTATAAAGGGAATATATTTTGATAACTACTCTTTTAGTCTCCATTTTTTAATAGATCATTATATCATTAAACGTAAAAAAAAAAATCTTATATCATTTTTAAATAACTATCTGTAACTTATAATATTTGTCTGTATATAATTATTAGAGGTATAAACTGTCTCAATTTCTTCGGTATAAAATAATAATAGTTTATTTTTAGATGAATTTTTTATTATATTTTTTTTACTTTTTTAATATATTGCTTTTCCATTACTATATATTATGAACATTTTTTTTACTTATAATACTAATGCATTATTAAATTGTATTACTATGTTTCATTCATTATTAGTGTTATTTTTTATTTATAATCTATACTTATTATAAAGAAGATATATTTTGATAATTACTCTTTTGGTCTTCATTTTTTAATAGATCATTATACCTCTAAATGTAAAAAAAGAAAAAAAAAATCTTATATCAGTTTTAAATAAATATCTGTAATTTCTAATATTTGTCTGTATATAACTATTAGAGATATAAAATACTTCAATCCCTCTAGTATTTAATTAAGTAAATTATAATGTTAACAAAATCAAAATGATAAATCAACACCCAAAATTAAAAATATTTATTTTACACTCTCATTACACACACGTTCAATGGAACATGACTGAATTGATAACTAAACCAAATTCAAAAACATTGCTCGTGGATATTGTTATGATAATATCTCCATATAATTGTTGCTTGTTTCAATCCCATGCTAACAGAAAAAGCAAAGGTGACAAGGAAATAAAATGAATAACAGAATATGTGCGTAAGATTAAGCACATAGACAACCCTCGTTCTTCTCATTACCCGTAACCCCACAGACAAACTGGACCAACCTGTTAAGTAATGTTACTACAAGACAAACTTTATCCCCTGCATCTGCGCCACATTTATGTCCTTTTCTTACCCCTATTAAAGAACTATATTCAAGAATTCCATATTATCCATTCTTTATGCTCATTCCATGATGTTAATGCTCTGTAAAAATTGCTTAATCTAACTCTATTCTTTTACTTTTACTTTTCCTTTTCATGTGCTAAAAGCATGCACTTGATATCTATGTGCAATCTTGATTGAAATCACCATTGGTGCAAACATTCAAGAATTTTGGTCGCAATTTCGTTGTCAGTAATAATTAGCAAAAAAAGTCCCACATACGATCCTTTTCTCGTGTATGAAGTTAGTCTTTTTTCAACTACCAAGTGCCTTTAATAGAAAACCCCACATACTACAGTTAAAAACACTTGAGAACCTGTCTTCCCTTATGCACCAGGAAAAGTGATCCAGAAAAAGTGGAATTGAATATTCGGACTTTGCTATTGTTTAAGTGGGGCACTGAATCTTCACCTCACACTTCATACCTGCAAGTCTGCACCTCTCACACTTCATACCTGCAAGTCTGCACCTTAAAAACTTTTAATAGGATTGATAAATATTACATTACGAGTAAATATTGGATTATTGGAACCGGCATTAACTCTCTTCGTTGTTAATTGTCATTGTCAATTGATTAAGCTCTTATCCTGAAAGTGCTATGTTATAGGATGCTCTTCATATATTACTATCAACTGAAGCATGCACGTTAAAGAAAATCATGTTCAGACAAGGGACAGTTTAAAAATCAACTATTGCAAGTATCAATATCAAACTGTTTTGCATGTGGCATTTCATGTACAAGCTCATTATTCTCCTTCTATAAATGCAGAGAACTCACCTAAAGAAAACCACATTTTAACAACCACATCGCTGGAATTGATCCCACTTAAAAGGCATACTTGTACATTATCACATGTCTGCGCTAATTAATTATATCCTGCTTTCGCTTTACTAATCATTAACAAGCATACTTTTAGATAAGACAGGCAACAAACAGCTGATAAGTGACAAATAACAAACCATGTTATATGAGAATTATTTACCTTTTAATAATGAATATTACCAACAACTATCACAGCCGGGAAATTAACTTGGCTGATATACTGCAGATAAACACTCGAGCATATAAAGACAACAATTACCATATATAGTCTCTTTGGGAAACTAACTAAAGCAAATCATATTTCCCCTTGATTAGTAATAGTATGAAGCAAGATTTTAGTTCAGTCCTATTAGTTGTTATTATCAATTAACGGAATTCCCCGCAATTGGCGCCTCTTGAGCAATATAAATACTTAAAAGTATGCGACCTGAAACTGAAAGCAATTTCGGAAAGTCGTCACCTGGGGTAATGATTTCTAATCTCAAACAACCTTTGTTGTCTGGTAGTCATGTTACAGCCACGAAAACTCAATCCCATTTTAAAGAACCTTTTGACTAAATATCCCTAACGAGTTTATTACATAGTGCACCGTAACTAATTAAATAATAAACTGACAAAAAGGAAAAATCAAATTCTTCTGAGAGATAAAATAATGGATAAAACATTAAGTATCCTTTTCTATATATGTAAAGAGATAAATAAAAGAAGAGAAGTGTAACAAATACAATTGTGGTAAAGGGATAATTTTCATTTTCTCTTGCATCAGTTACATGTAAAGAAATTTGAAAAATAAAGGACTCTCTCTCTTCTCTATTTGCTGATGAAAAAAATAAGAAAACTAGGAAGAAGAAACATGCAAGAAACATGAAAATAAGAATGATACAGAACATGTATATAGGGTTTGACCCATCAAGCAATTTTTTACCAGTTACCACCATTGATGAACAAGAACACCACTTTGTCGGAGAGAAGTGAAGAGCTGCAAGCACTGATCATAAGTTTTCTCATACTTAGGACTCCTTTGTCCAGGGCAACACCTCTGCCACCTATTGTAATGACACTCGAGAAAAATCTCATCCACCAAACAGATAGCCCCAGTTTCAAACAACCTGGGAATCAAATCAAACTCAGTACCCTCCACATCCATCTTCATCACAACAAAATCGTTCTTCGAAACCGTGTTCTTCAACCAGTCGGCAAAATCAAACCCTGGAATCTTCTCAACCTCACCACCATCAAAACCCCCCGAAGATTTCAAGGGCTGAATCCTTCCCATTCCTCGGCCCTTACCCTGAACCTTCTCCCCTGGGTCACGGTTAATCTCAAACACCAAACTCTCATTCCTCACCCATGCAGCATAAGGCAACAGAGTAACCCCCTTTTTCACTCCATACTCCTGATGAAACGTTTTATCTGCCTCAATTGCATACACGTGAAATGTCTTGTTCTGTTTTGGGTACTGTTTCCTAAACCAACTTCCAATACTAGAACCATAGCTTCTAGCTCCAACATCAACATACAAATACCTATTCTTAAAGCTTATATCAACCATCGAAGGAAGGTACTTTACGTTCTTCACGTTTCTCTTGAGAGTGATCCATGGCTTCAATGGCTCCTCTTCAATCAACGCTTCAGCGTTTCTAACCAACTCTAGTTTATACCCCGGAACAGAGCATTTTCCATTGGAATTGGAATTCGAATCAGAATCAGAATCAGAATCAATTCCAAAACGCTCTTTCTTCACAACGATTTCCCTTATGTGAGGCATCGATGAATCAAACCCTTCTATGTCAGTAATTTTCACCACATCACAACAAAAATTGAACAAATCAACGAATGAATTATAACTATAAGTGTCTTTGGCCTTTACATGGAACGCGGCAAACCCTTCGGGTTTGAGCGTTCGTGAAACCTCGGCGGCGAACTCCGCCGGCCGCAGCGACTTCTCGAGCGCGCCGTCCCCGACGAACACGAAGTCGAACGTGGCGTTGGCGAACGGAATCCGGCGAGCCTCGCCGGACTTCACCAGCGGCGGGGACGCCTTCTTCGAGATCCCGACGGCGTCCGCAATGCCGATCTCCCGCAGCGCGAGGACGTCGCGGCCGGTCGGCGTCTCGACGCAGAGCGACTTCGCCGCCGGCGAGAGGAATCCGCCGGCGACGAGGTCGTTGAACACCGAGGAGTAGAACCGTACGCCGTTGATCCAGTCCTTGCTAGCGAATCGCTCCGGCGCAGCCGCGGCGGAGGCGGCGAGAGCACCGGATCCGGGTCCGGCGATGGCGAGATTGAGCGAGGGAGAGAAGAAGCAGAAGTCGCCGATGGTGCAGGACTCGCCGGCGAGGGTGATGACGTAAGCGAAGCGTACGATTACGATGAGAACGCCGAAGAGGAGTAACCGCACGAGAACGTTTCTGAGAAAGCCGGGCTTGGCTGCGGCAGGCTCCATGGAAACAGATTGTGCACTTTTCTTACAGAAAATAATAAAATGACTTAAATTGAAAGGAAGGAAAAAAGAGTTTGGGTTGAATTGTTTTGTATTTATCGAGAGCAGAAGCGAGCAGAGGTGTGGTTTGCGCCGATGAGAGAAGGTGTTTTTCTGAGAGAAGGAATTGAAAAGGTGAGAGGGGCAAAATGGGAAATCATGATGCGTTGTTGGCTTGGTTTCTATGGAACAGTGATGAAGAAGAAGAAGAAGAAGAAGAAGAAGAAGGAAGAGACTATTACTGGGTGGGTTTTGGTTTTGGATGAGTGAATACGTTGATAAAAATAATATGAACGCGGCGTCATGGTGACCGGTATAGCCGGTTAATTAATTCTACGCGGAAGGAACATCGGGAAGAAGGACGAAACGAAACAAAGGAACCCTGCCGTGGCAATGGCATGGGCTTTCCAAATTACAAGAATGCCATTTTGTGTTTTCTTTTTTTAATTATAGAATTATTGAGCAGTTTATTTAATGGCTTTATTTATTCCTAAAATGATGAGATGATGAGAATTGACAAGTTGCGTGATGAAAATTCCAGAAACCTTGAATTGTCAGTTTGCGGAATGGCAAGCATTTACACAGAGGCGAGTGTTTTTCTCGCGTCACTATTCACAGCTCCATCTTATCCTATAATTGTTTGGTCAAAGACAAAGTACAATATTTCTTCTGTTTTTCTTTTTAACCTTATTCTAAAATTTACTCTTTTTCTTTTATGAATTTTTTATATTACTTCACTCATTTTTTTTATTATTTACGTTAATAAAATTTATATATGTATGGTAGAATATGAATTCAATAGTTACTTTTCAATTTGCCGCAATATCACACGTATTCGGTCGCTGCACCAATTTTCTATAACTTATTAATTCTTCAAATAAAATATTTAAAGACAAAGTTTTCTATATTTTCGAACCACGAACATAATATCTTTTCTTTTTTTTTTTTTGGTAATGGAACATAATATCTCGTTTAAACACTGTAGATAACATTTTTTTTCGTCAAAAATTTATTTAAGCTAATTATTAGTTTTTTATATTATGCCTCTCAATAAAATTGAATGCAAACCTCTTAGACTTGAACAAAATCTTCCTTTATTAAAGAAAAAATATATAATTAAGAATGAAGATTCTATTGAAAATGATAAATTAAATTCTATAATAATAATTAATTGCCAATAATTAAGTTTATAGCTTTTAATGTATTGTTTATTTTCGCTCGAGGTTGATATTCATGGTTTTATTCTTAAAAGACAATTCCGTAAATTAACCTTTCCCATTCAACGCGAGACATTTTAGCAAAACATAACCAGTCCTTTTCTGGAGGAGAATATAACGGGTCCTTATTTACTCCATTTTGATGTAAGAAAAATATATTTTTAGTAGTACTATAAAAAAATAATGATTAAAAGTTAATGCAAAAATAAATTTTTATTACGTCAAAATTTAAAATTAAATTTACCTGTGTCTTAAAACTAATTCACCTATATTAATTTGATACGAATAAATCTTTGTGCATGTAACGATGGGAAGCTCAATCACAAGACAAGCTTTAATCTTAAACTGCGTTCCGCATTTGGATTCCCGTTTAATGTCGCCGCCGTGTTTGGATTTCGGTTTACTGTCACGGCCGTGTTAAGCATTCAGCACATGCAAATTTTACCAAAACCATTTAATTAAACAAATTTTCAGCAAATAAAACGTAAATATCGGATCTGTTCTGCATTTATTTCGCTTCTTTTTTTTTTTTCTCACGCCAGAGAATCTAAATTCATTCATTCATTAATCAAAGATAAAGTCAAATCTTTGCAATATAATTACGGTCAATTGTTACTCATTAATTAAGGTTAGAATACAAAACTTTATATATTATACATTAATTCTCATCAATAGGTCCATCCTACATGTTAGCTAAAATAATCAATAATAAAAAAAGAATATTAAAGTATATCAATCAATATTATTAAGTCATAATTTTAATAAAAAGTTATTATTGATTTCTAGATTAAGATTGTTAAAATATTTGTGAATTGTGAATAATACCGTATAACTACTTCCTATTGGAGACGTCCATATCAACGAATTTTTTTCTGAAATAATATTTTTTTTAAAAAAAATTACAAGAATGATCATTGTGCAGGATTATTTACCAAGATAGAACCATTTACTATTCAAGCTCAGAATTCGGTTCTCTGGGAACCGAATTCTGAGCATCAAAATGTAATTTTTTTTGTTTTTTCAACTCAGAATTCGGTTCCCGGGGAACCGAATTCTGAGTTGGTTTTAAATTTTTTTTTTTTTTTCGTGTATGGGGGCAAATGTGGGTTGATCTGGGAAGCGGAACGGCCCGTTCCAAAAGCAGAACGGGCAGTTCTGCTTAAAAAAACAGAGTGCAAATTCTGAATGTGAAACGGCCCGTTCTGCTTAAAGAATTTGCACTCTATTTCTTTAAGCAGAACGGGCCGTTCTGCTCCGTTCTGCTTTCGGAACGGGCCGTTCCGCTTCCCAGATCAGCCCACATTTGCCCCATACACAAAAAAAAAAAAAATTTAAAACCAACTCAGAATTCGGTTCCCCTGGAACTGAATTCTGAGTTGAAAAAACAAAAAAAATTACATTTTGATGCTCAGAATTCGGTTCCCGGGGAACCGAATTCTGAGCTTGAACAGTAAATGGTTCTATCTTGATAAATAATTCTGCACAGTGATCATTCTTGTAATTTTTTTTAAAAAAAATATTATTCCAGTAAAAAATTCCCATATCAACTAGTATTAAAAATGTATAGTAGTTTTTTTGGAAAGAATATTATTCACGTGATGAATCAGAAGATCTGACACAAGACCATTACTTATTTGTCAGAAAATATGAAAGTCAAAACGTTGAAAATTGTGAGTAAATAGTGGTAGTAATAACTAATTATTAAAAATATACTATAGTAGTTTAATGGTTTTCTAGAAAGAATATTATTCGGATCATGAGAAATTTTGGATGAATGATCTAACGAAAGACTCGAGATTAATTATCAGAAAATATACAAGTCGAATGGTTGAGAATGACAATTAGAGACAAATAAATAGTAATCAGTTCACACGTGTACACATGAGAAGCTTAGTTAATGAAAATTAAAAAAAATCACGTAAATTAGTTCTTATTTTTTAATATTAAAATAAGTAACTGAATAAATGAGCAAATTCATTATGGTTTTCATTTTCTTTATTTCAAAAGAATTTATGTTTTTTAATCATATCATTATACTTAATATAGTACAATTGCTTTACAATACAAATATTAAACAATATTTAATTATTATAGAATTATCATGCAATAGTTATTCAGGCATTTATACAATAAATATATGTATAGGGATAAAAAACAAAACAATTCCTGCATATATAATTGAAAACATAAATTCCCTTATGAGGATTACATATATATCTTGTATATAAATGTAATATACGTAAACTAAAACACTATATACAAAATGACTATAATCGTCGGTCAAACGTCTATATAATAGATTTTTAGAGAATATGTTTCTGTACAAATATATCTATATATATTTGTTCATTCTTGTAAAATGGTATCTATATCTTTCTTGTACTTTGAATCTTCTTATATAGTAGCCCGAAGGAGATGATATTTGTAGCACTGAGTCCAGTTCACAAGTTTGATTTATCTGTCTTTATCATCTTCCCTTATGGTGGTAGATAATTGTTTGACACATTAAATGCATTTCACAAAAAATTACCTCTTAGCTAATCAAGGAGGTTACTTATCAATTTTCTATACCAAACGAAACTTGTAGAAATAATGTCAATGCATAGCAGCTATAGTAGTGACTTTATTTATTTTTCTCCATGATTTTAGAGATTTAGTTATGGTAGAAAGCATGGTTATTTCGTTTAACAGATTTCTGAGTTCTGAGATGGTCTTTTAATTTGATCTGATTTGTTCAGGAATCAAACATTCAAAGCGAACTTTGTCATTAGTCGTAATAAATAATAAATATTTAATATATATGAGACAGACTGTACGTTTCATTTGATTGACAAATGATTTTCATCTTACACTTCATTTAATAAGTCTTTCAAAGATGTTTTCGTAGATATTTCTTCTATATAAAAATCCTTTATTTGTTAGCATTAAAACTGTAATTTAGGGGATCATTTTTTGATTTAACAAACACATATCATGCAACCACCCATATAATTAAATTAAACATCACAAAACTAATGATAAGTGTCTATTTTATGTAAAATATTTGATCATTTTGACACCTATCTAACTTGGATTAAAAAGTTTCTTTTTCGTTTAACTACTATAAACTTAGAAGAATCAAAAGGTTATGAAAATTAGTAGTTTGTAAAGAGTTTATGGAGTTTTATTTATAAAGTTTTGGATTTATGTTTGATAGGTATAAAAAAAGATCAAAGGCCTCAAAGCAAACCCAAAATCACTCAACCATTTGGAAAACTGAGTAATTTAAAGGTAGAGAGTAAGAATTGGAGAAAACTCAAAACTACTCAATTGTTGGAAAGGGCTAAGTGGTTTGGGTGCAGGGAAGATGAAAAATCTAACTCACAAGGGCTCAACAAATTCAAAATGGCTCATCCCTTGAAGTTGCTTCACCTTGAAGAATCTTTCAAACTACTCAGCCGTTTAGAAAATGTTGAATGGTTTACTCTCTCTCTTCCACACTCTATTTTATTTTTTTTGCACATATATAAGGCTAGGGGAGGAGTAAAAGGGGAGTAGATAGAATAGAGCAGGGCGAAAATAACAAAGGTTACAAGAAGTCTACAAACCAATTGGGAATGGGGGTTATAGGGATTTTCTTGTCTTTTTTTACTCTTTCTCCATGTATTATGGATTGGTTCTCACTATCATGAGTGGTTGATCCTTTTCTTTATTGGGATTAAATATGCAAACCATCAAACTCTTATGTGTTTCTTTTGATCTATATATATGATGATCTATTATTCAACATTAGTGATTTTAAATTTGTTCTTAATGTTAAGGTGATTTGATTACTAATCTTTGATTTTTGGTTTGGATTTCAGTTCAGAAATGTTTTCTAAATAAGGTTCTGAATTAAATCACCTTATATCTTTAAAGACTAAGAATAAATTTGGAATTGTTAGTTGAAAATGTTCTTACACATAATGCAAGGCTTTTAGCTTAATAAATAGAGGAATCATTTGTTAAGTGAAATCCTTAGAATTTCTAAACTCAAGGAATTGATTTGGAATGGATGTAATGAACTCAATGATATTGGATAATAGAAATCATATATAGATGTCTTAGAAACACATAAGGGTGAAATAGATGAAGTTTAATC